TAAACCCTAAACCCTAAACCGCGATGTCCCAGCCAAGGAAACACGCTGCTCCAAGTGCTTCGATGCTTGTGGCCATGACTTCGAAGGAGGTGGTCCCCCAGGGCTGGGGTCGTGATTCCACCTGTCAACCGCAGGTCCTTGCGACGTCTAGGCTGAGCTTCTCTACAAATTTAGCAATGAAGACATACTGAAGCACTAGTTGAGATGTCCTAAACCCTAAACCCAATGTTGAGGGTTCGCCAAAGCGATTCTGGCAACGACCCCGGTGTCATGCATCCCATGTCACATAGCTACGACACCCCAACTGCTGTCACAACCGAGTAGTATAGGTCTAAATACTTATCAACACTTCTGGGGGTTCCTTATCATAAGTATTGTACAAAAAAGGCCACAAAATCCTGTTCCAATTGTGAAGGCCCCTACATTACTGCCATTAAGCCCTTCAGTTTTGGATTCGGAGGTCAAGTCTACTTTTGCAGGCCCGTCTTACACGAGTTTCAGATCATGGTGGTGGGAGGAAAGGTGACTTTCTCAAAGGGCAAATGCGAAAACCCAAGCATCACTTCCTTTGCGCACAAAGACGCAAGAGTGGAGGCAAGGGTCGGGCACGGGGACTTCTTCTAGACTCCTTTTTTCACAGACCTTTGTCCCTCAAGCAGCCCTTGAAAGGAATTCCAAACGCCCTACAGACCCCAATGCACCGCGGCAACCATAAACCCTTAACCCTAAACCCTAAACCCTAAACCCTAAACCCTAAGCCCGAAACCGTGGAGGTGGAGCCATGGCAGTGATGAGCAGCAGTTCGACGACGGGCGTCGAGTCCAAGGCGCCTGGGGAGCACTTCGGAGGGCTCATGGGTTTAGGGTTTAGGGTTTAGGGTTTAGGGTTTAGGGTTTGGGGTTTTGGGTTTAGGGTTTAGGGTTTAGGGTCCTCCTTAAGGGATCTATCAAAGGGCTCTATATTAGGGGCCTTAATAATTAGAATAGGGCTTGGGTGTTTGGGGTTTAGGGTCTAATCTAGGGGCCTTCTGATAGTTAGAATAGGATTTGGGGGCCCATTATACTATAGTTATAATAAGGAGCTCCCAATATAGTATAGGTAATTATTTAGGTTGCTACAGTAGAGGTTCAGGGCTTCGGGTTTAGGACGCTTTGAGGTTCCTGTTCACTGGTTAAGGGTTGCAAGACCAAAAAAACCTCAAACCCTAAACCCTAAACCCTCAAGGGGTCTGGCTCTTCATGTGGTTTATATAGGTTACAACACGCTTTAGGGTTAGCCGGGTTAAAGTCCCTGTTTAAGACTTTCTCGGTTTGTTCTATAGGGTTTACAGGTTTGCTGGATGACAAACTTTGAGTTTCGGATGTCGGTTTGAGGCTGGGGATCTGAATCTAAACAACCGTCAACCCGGAGATTAGCTTGACAAGTTCCAGGGTGACGGTCTAGGGTTTCTAAGATTCAGTGTTTAGGGTTTACAAGGTTCAATGTAAACTCCAGATTTATAACCCCCTAAACCCTAAACCCTAAACTCTAAACCCCTAAGCCCCTAAACCCCAAACCCTAAATCCTACACCCTAAATCGGATCACAGCGTACAGAGCCTCATCATGGCAGCCTGGGGGTCGCTGGGCTCTTGTGATGGATGATGGAGTAGGGTTTAGGGTTTAGGGTTTAGGGTTCAGGGTTTCGGGTTCTGTGTTAAGGGTTCTTCTTGGGGTGGTAAAAGGTTGGGTTCGAGTTAAATATAATCACAGTAGAAAATGTCCTAAAACCTTGTTTAGATTGTTCAGGCCCCTACATTAGTTATGCTTCCTTCATTGCATGTCTAATTGTCTAACTATTCATCCTTGAGACTCAGGGCTTGCGTCTCTCTCTCAACCGACACAGTTCCCCAACTCCTAATCCCTAAACCCAAACCCTAAACGAGCCTATGGGTAACGGCTTTGGATTTTCTCCCACACTCGCCCCAAGCAGCAGGTGCGCTCGCTGCGCGTCGGGTCCGGTGCGCCACAGGTGGGCCCTTTTGAAATTTGTCACGGTTTGAGTTTTGGGTTTAGGTCGCTGTCTGCGCGCATGCAAACCTAAATGACAGTAGAGAAATCGTAAACCCCTAAACCCTAAACCCCTAAACCCTAAACCCTAAACTCAGAGCCTGTGGTTTCCAAAGTTTCTGTTGTTCAGGCTTTATTGAATTTCATGTCCTTCTGGGGCCACAGTCCTTGAGCTTGAAACTTTGCTTCTGGGTTTTTATGGTTTAGGGTTTAGGGTTTAGGACTTAAGGTGAGGGTAGCGGAGTTTTGTTGCTGGATGAGGTCGTGGTAGATCTCTGCCGTGGGAGCTACAACTACGGCGTGGCTGGCATGGAGGCACCTGCAGCAAGGATTCCACCCTAAACCCTAAACCCTAAATCCTGAACCGCGAGACTCACGAGGATTCTGCTGGTCGGTTTATGTCAGGGTCTTGTCTGTATGCAGCCCCCTAAACCCTTAGCCCTAGATCCTTAACTCTAAACCCCCCCCCAAAAAAAAACCCTAAACCGAGTTTATGCTGTCTTAGGTAGTGACGGAGAGAGCTGCGGCTACGTGTGTGCGAAAGCCACAGGCTTCCTTATGTTTTTCATTCAGAGCAAATGGGTGCTCAAGGACATCAATGAGTAATGTAGGGGCCTAAATAATTGCCAATACTATTTTGGTGGATCTTTGATTATGACAAAAGTATAATGCGCCCCATTATTAAGGTCCCTATATTCATGTGCCTCGCTTTACTTAGACTTAGGATGGAAGTCCCTAAGCCCTCATCCCCGGCATTCATGAGGCTTCTGCCAAGCGGAGTGAAAAAAGGGCCGATCAAGAAATCAAACCTTCCCCACCCAATACTTTTACAAACTCAACTGGAACAGCAGCGCGGTATAGAAGCCGTTCAAAACAAGCTGCATAAGCAATAAGTTGCATATACATATCGAGTATAGACGTATCAACATACACATATAGATAGATTTACATATATACACATCTAGAATAAGATCTACATTTAGATCGACAGACGGATAGACACATGGACAGCTGGATAGACGGATAGGTAGACGGATAGATACAAGGAGTACAAAGCCTGTTATTTCCCGTATGGTTGTCCTTTAATATTAAATTTCACGAAGCAGAACCTATGGACTGCCCTGTAATTGTGAACCCGGCAACCTTACACACACACATATATATATATATATATGTACAAATGGCAACATACTCATACATATATACACATGCATTACCTAAACATTGTACGACCGAACTTTAAAACCCCATGCGTGAAGAACTAACTTAACTAGCAGTGTCTTGCACGCACATTGTAAGCTGTGCATATTGTGCAGGCTGAGCAACCGTGTTGTGCATCGATGAGTGCCCGGACTCAGGACGCCAAGATACCCCTAGCAATACCTACTGGAGTGAGTACCAACCGCACAAAGGATTGACCCCCTAACCATAACCCTGAGTCACTGAGCCCCAAACCTAAATACTAAGGTGAATGGATGTAGACACACGGATTCAAAGCCCGCGTGGGAGGTCCAGCAAATAAGAAAGCTTCATATAAGCCGGAAACCGCAGGAAACCAATATTTTCAACTCAGAGCGCAAACCTTTGGCCCCAAGCCTGGCAAGGCCACAAGCGTCCGGTCGTCCCGTGCCGGATGCATCAACTTTCCAGGCGCCCGGTCGAGTCATGTGCATGTAACGACGTAGTAGTCGATGTCGGAGTAGGAATAGGTACAGGAGTAGGGTATTTGTAAATAGTCGTGGGGTTTGGGATTTCGGGTTAGGGATCTAGGGAGGCTTGGTTTGAGATTCATAAGTTTTCTAAATCGAATAGACCGGCTGATGCAAAGTGCTTGCAGCCTTGTGCCTTATGCCCTGGACCTTCAGCTATCAACTTCAACCTAGTACTTCTGTCTACCATGGCCCTCGGGTTCACAGTTCATAGTTGTCGTGGCCCTGTAGGCAAAAGAGTGATCTAATATAGGGCCCTAAATAGTTACCTATACT